CATCACCAAACCACATGTGTCATGTAGGTGCGTGTGTGCGTGCGTGTTTGTGGGTATGTGTATGTGTTTGTGTGATGTGTGTGTGTATGTGTGTGTGTGTGTGTTATGTGATACCGTTGTAGTTAATTTGTTTTGTAGCTGTAATATTAGAGAAGTGAGAAGAGGAAGAAGAGAATGGATGGGATAATTAGGTTATTAGGTTTTGTTCCTTTCTTTGTTCAATTGAAAGAGAGCCACTTTCTTTAATTTAAAATTTTAATGGGTTTTATTATTATTATTATCATTGTTGTTGTTGTTGTTGTTTGTGTTAAATGTATACTATAGTTGCTGCTGATGTTTTGTTGTTGTTGTTGTTTTGAGTGTGTTTTTGTCTCTCTTTGCAGTTAAAAACAATCCTTAAAGACAATGATTCTGATCCTCCTGTGAGGAGTGCAACCACTGAATTAAACATTTATGTGCAGTTTTGTATACAAAACGAAATATAAAAATACAAAGGATAAGGGTAAAGATAAATATAAATATAAAAATACCTAAAGATAATATAAAAATACCTAAAGATAAAGGTAAAGATAAATATAAAATACATAAGATAAAAAAAAGTTGTTTTTGTGCAAGAGAGTTGTAAGCAGAAGAAGGAAAAATTTAGTGTGGAATATCAAAAACAGGATTGAAATTTCAAAATTCCCTCAAACTGGAACAGAAAACACCAAGCAAACTAAGAAAAAACTAGGCTATTGGTGAAAATTTTAGCAATAAACTTGCAAACATCTAAAATATCTAAGTAACTATACAATCACATAAAGAAATACACATAGAAACATACATAGTGCATATAAACACATACAAATATATACAATTTCACACACAAACACACACACATACACACACGCATACAGAAAGATACATGCAGTCATATTAAACCTTCAGAAGAACTGAATGAAACCATATTACTAGACTTCATTTTTCTAGAGATCAGTTTATGTTATTGGATGAATGGATGAATGAATGAATGAATGAACGAACGAACGAACGAATGAATGAATAAATGATGAATGAACAAACGAATAGCAAAACCAATATTGGAAAAAATTACTGGATGAATATAAGAATTTTAACATGCCAAATTTAGCATTTGATAAAAATGAAAGAAATAACTATAAACCTTTGTATCAGAAACTAAGAAAAAGAATTTTTTTCTAAAAAAAAAAAACATGTTCATCCATTTTAATAGATAAAAACAAAACCAACTTAGATATATATATATATAGAGAGAGAGAAAAATAACCTGCTGAAGATTGTAGCTAAAAAGATTTTTCTTGAATGTCTAGAAACCTTCAGCTTAATTGACAAAAATTACCATTTAAGAATTCATTACATACAAATTTAATTATATAGTTCAAAATAAAATAAATGTAACAAAATTTAAAATTTCATTTTCTTATTTATAATCATTCTAATACTATATATTATATTTTACAATCTTATTTCTTTCTCATGCCTTATCCTGTCAAGACATTGGCAACCATTGACCTTCACAAAACCCAATTTTTAACACTTTGTACATATTAACACATGTTATTCATTGTTGACCACAACCTCTTTTCCCTGCAATCTTTCCTGTAGTTGTTAGCTTTTCCATGTTTTTCTTCCGCACGATGTG